ATATACTCTTGGGTCGATACAACCCAGCATCGTCACTACAGGGTTAAATTCCAAATTGTCCGATTAAGTTCAAGAGCTTGGAACGCACCTTACGATGCGTGTAGGCATTTTAAACCTATCACCACACACTGACCCTGTCCCGTTAGACATTCGATTCCAATTTTATTGTAGACCGGTTGTAATCTTAGATTGAATCCTATCCTAATAATATTGGATGTATGTACGGATGTTTGAATATATGAATGTACGTATGGATGTTTTTATGTAGGTATGTATGTGTGGATGGATGTTTGGATATATGGATGTTTGGATGTTTGGATGTGTGGATGTTTGGATGATTGGATGTTTGGATGTTAGGATGTATGGATGTACGTATGTTTGTCAAACTGTTACAAAAATGATTATACATACTTATAGTTTGGTACAACACATGGTGTTTTTTATTGCAAATAGAACGCGGGCGAATCCGCTAGCAGAAACTAGTTTACAAGTAAATAAGATAGATCTAGGTATCTAGATAACCTAGGCTGTTTAGATAAAGACCTCATCTTTAGACATAAAATGCGTATGAAGATATTCCTTATATTGGTTGCTGTGGACGTAGCCCCGTAACTGTAATTCTATATTTACAATCTACGTTATGATGTTACAGTTAGAACAGCTGAAATAATGAAGGTATGTTTCGAAATAGGTGTCATGAATCTAGATTTTGAACGGATAATGGCTTGGTAGACTGATATAATTCGGTTATAAAGGTATGAGAAGCTATTTTGTATAGTTTATGCATGTATTGTAGGGAATTTAAAAAAAATAGCTAAGACAAACATTTAGACGAAATTGTTAACTCGTTAAATACCTAAGTAAAAATCAGTAATACTTAAGAAAAATGGTCAAGCCTATTTAGCAGTACCACATACATTTACAGATACATTTTTACCGGCAACGCAGCTGTGACTCCTCTGGTGTTGCGGGTGTCTATAGGCGGTGCTGATCGCTTACCATCAGATGATTCGTCTGCTCGATTGTCTCCTATTCCATTAAAAAATCTGACTCAAAAATGATGATTGGTAAGTTTAAAACTGGAAGAAGAAATATCTTTTTCATTCCTGTTCATTGAATGTAAGACTTAACACTTTGTGATTAGGTTCAAAATCATTAAACCACCAATCTAATGACATAATCGTAAATTCTACTATCACTACATAGTATAAAACAAAGTCGCTACCCACCGTCTGTCTGTCCCTATGTATGCTTAGATCTTTAAAACTACACAACGGATTTTGATGCGATTTTTTTTAATAGATAGAGGGATTCTTAAGGAAGGTTTATATGTATAACACATGCATATTGCACCCGTGGGAAGCTGGGGCAGGTCGCTAGTAATATTATAAGTGCGAAAATTTGTATGTTTGTTTGTTACTCCGTCATGTCAAAACGGCTAAAAGGATCAGGCTGAAATTTGGTGCAAGGGACAGATAGTGGTCTCGAATAACATATAGGCAATAGGCAAGGCTTTTTATCCCACAGAAATACGGGCAAAAACGCTAGCAAAGCTAGTCTAAGCATAATTTTAATTGGTACTTAAAACAATCAGACCCCTACTTAGTTTTACTACATTGTTCAAATACTAACGGTCACCCATTGTGTCCCTTATATGTATGAGCCAATAGTCCACCATCATCCCGAATGATCAGCCAAAAGAAGTCAACAGCAATATTGCAACTATATGTATTCAAATTATTTCAATAAGTATTCAAATTCATTTTGAATTTTATGTATTGAAATTCGCGTCATCAGGCCTTAGACTATTTATGGAGGACTAGGTGTGATATGTTTCTTATGGTGTGTTAGGATAATTAATTAATATATGTGATAAGCCGGTAAACGAGTAGACGGATCACCTGATGGTAAGCAATCGGCGTCGCCCATGGACATCTGGAACACCAAAGGCGTTACGAGTGCGTTACCGGCCTTTTGAGGATTAGGAATTAGAGGATTGTTGGGGAAGGGGATAATTGGGCGGTAGCCTCACTCACACGACGAAACAGAAGGCAAGCGCTGTTTCACATCGTTTTTCTGTGAGGCCATGGTATCGTATCACTCCAGTCGAGCGGGCCCATTCGTGCCGAAGCATGGCTCTCTCACACTTACTAAATTTATGCAGAAGATGCATAATAATATAGAATCAAAATAAATTTGTCAACACTCTTTCTCTTTCTGTAGGTGGCTTTTTAACTGATCTCTATCTCCTTTGACGTGTGTGTAACTCCTGGAGATTAAAGAAAACTCACTCCCGTATGGGAAGCGCATAGCCCAGCAAGTGATTCTCACGGAATGTTGACGTCCAAGTCTTAAGTATTTAGATTTAAAACATGCAAGTATATCAATTATTATTATTTAATAGGTTTTTTTTAACTGCTCGTTGGCCGAGTGGTCACAAGTGCGACTGCCGGGCAAGGGGTCTCGGGTTCGGTTCCTGGGTCGGGCAAAGTATGACTGGGTTAAAAAAAAAGTTCTCAGTAGTAGCACGGAGTCTGGAACTTTGCCCGGTATATGGCAATAGGCTCACCCCCTATTACATGGGATTCCTGTATCGTCTGTTTATCTTTGAATTCAAGACAAAACAAGTTCACCTTTTTTTACCTAGTACCTTATAACATAAATAGTGAAAAGTGGGTGTTACATTGTACAGAGGCATAATGTGCACCTCTGCCTACCACTTTGGGGATAAAAGGCATGATGGTATGTTAATAGGTTTTTTTTATTGTGTATTATGTTTTCGGCTTACTCTTACTCACGTAACTGTTGACGAGATACCCGCACCGCCACAGAGTCCAGCAGCCAGTAGCAGCGCGACAGTCGCCGCGTCGCGGTTTGCGGATTGCTGCTCATGAATATGAGCCTCTATCATGACTTGAAACTAGTCGAGTTCCTCGTCAAACAGTCACGTGAGTAAGCCGAAAACATAATAATCTATTTAGTATGCCTCACGAAGGTATTTTATCATGGTATAGAAAGCAAATGAACAGACGGATTACCTGATGATAAGCGATCAGTGCCGCCTATGGACACCCGCAACACCAGAGGAGAAACAGGTGCGTTGTTCATTTTAAAAAAGAATACGTTCTTTTCAAAAACTTTAGATTTAGATCTTTAAAAATACCTCAAATCTTACCTCTAACGTGTGGTCACTTCACAAGATAGAAGACGAAAGCATACAAAGTAACTTTGGTGTTAGAATATCAAATGATTGTAATAGATTATCTTTTTTTCAATATTTATAGGCTATTGTAGTCTCGAAGGACGGCCTATTATTTCGGCCACTACCTACACGCACAGAATTTTAAATCATCATCTTAAAGTTCAATGACCTTACGTTTATACTTCACCAACTTACATTTACAGTCACATTCTCATCTTACAAGTCTTATTGTAAAAGAAGTTGGGTTTAAAATGGTCTGGCTTGGAGTTTGTGGTCTGTTTATTTATGTTGGTTGGAATGAGCTTGACCAAGACGAAATCTGTGATCGGAATTGACTGAGCTTGTGAAGATTAAGTGTTGGATTTGGTGACGAAAATTAAATTGAAAAAGATTTGAGTACAAATCTACCTACTACATGTTTTGACAAACTTCTAACTTAGTGTGTATACCAGGACTAATAGTTTCGTACACTTTGATAAGCTGATCGCATTCTCGCCCTTCATTAGCCGAGGTTCTCACAACTAGTGGCATGGCGGAACGCGATCGAGTCACTCATTTCAAAATTTCAAATAGCCAGGGCCTTTAGCCAAACGCCACTTTAGCGCTTGTGAGAGAGTAGAAAGAAATCAAAATGTAAGGGGATGACACTGACAAGTGTCAAAATTTACGGCAATTCCATATAATTTCGTTTTCTATCCTACATGTAGACAACATGCACTAAATGGCATTTGGCTACAGCTGCAGGATAGAATATAGCCTAGCTACTATCAAATGAAAGTCGACAAGTTAAATATTTAAAATCTTTTGACAAACTTTAACGTCCTTAAATGATACTACATTAAGACTGAATATTAAAAGTCTTCGACTATTGTTCGACCCAGGAATTTCTCTATCTCCTATAACCCTGTACAATTTAATGCACAAAATTATTTATTAAATGAAATATAATAGAAACTTAGATTAAAATTTCATGTTAAAATTATAATTTAATACACTATAAATAACATATTAAAATGGTAACTAAATTTATTTTCTGAAGTCAACATTTTATTCCATGTTTGACGAAACTTTAATTTCTTGATATTAATAACAATATTTACGATTTTGTCAGCGTTAGTTATGATCCATAAATTTATAAAAAATACAGCTTTATAAATTTTATATTTGCAGTTTGCATTATTAAAATACTGACTGTAGATAAAGTAAAAATGAAATAAACAATTTAAATTAAATTTAATAAGGATAAACTGCAAATGACACAACAAGCTGCAATTTGGATAGCCAAACGAAATTAATGCCGTATACCTTGGACCTGTGGTTGGTGAGCACGGGTAGCGGACTCAGACCCAAGCGCACGGCGCATAGTGTTCCGCACGCCGCAAAGAGCCATCCACCACTACGGATGGGGCCCAATAAGGCTGATGCTGACACGAAGCCGCGGAGAACGTTTAAAGTTCCCGGGGCTCCGGCTCGAAGTGCAAAAGTAGGAACGGGGTAGTTTCTAGTCAGTAAGAGTCTGACACTCTCCCCCACCTCACCCAGGCGGGAGAAGCCATTCGATGATTTTCCACCCTTAAAAAATCCCATAAGAAATACGAATCAAAAAATTACTTCCTTTTAAAAATTGTACCTAACACCTTGATATCGACAATCACACCCATTACAATAGTAATAGCATTTACACTAGTCTATGATAATAATAGAAATAATTTCTATTTTGTATATAACTAGCTGTTGCCCGCGACTTCGTCCGCGTAGATTAATGACTTCTGATAGAATCAATTCAGTGCCCAAGTAAGATTTACCTATTTTGAAATGATTTATCATAGTTTCAATAAATAAATAATCCCGCAGGGATCTTACCAGTACAGTGCCCGATCACGTAAGGTTTGAGTAATAAAAACTATTCTATCGACTATTGTTGTACCGAATCTCTCTAAAATAAGTTCAGTGGTTAAGAGTTAAACAGTCCCGGGGCATTGACGCATAGTTCCCGTTCCCGTGGGACATCTGTGATAAAAACTATCAAACGTTACCCAGGTCCCAAATCATCGTTTTACCGAATGTAATTCAAAAAGATTCAATGATTCTAATTAATTCAATGGCTAAGAAGATTTATACAAACTCTCATTTCCTATTTTATCCCCTTAGGGGTGGAATTTATCAAAATCCTTTCTAAGGAGATACCTAAGGAGGACCAATGTCATAGTAAATTTATGCATGCAAAGTCTCAGCCCGATCAATTTAAAACTGGCAAAGTATCATACTTTGGGGTGAGAATGTTCAAAAACCTTTCTAAAGGGACGTTTACGTCATAATATCCATCTGCACGCCGAATTTCAACCCGATCGGTGTAAAACTGACAAAGCTTCATACAAACGTTCATCCCCTACATTACCCCATTGGAGGTGGAAATAATCAAAATCCTTACTTGGGGATGCCTACGTCATAACATCCACCTGCATGCCGAATTTCATCTGCATCGGTGTAAAACTGACAAAGCTTCATATAAACTTTCATCCCCTATTTTACCCCCTTGGGGGTGGAAATTATCAAAATCCTTTCTTAGCGGATGCTTACGTCATAACATCTATCTGCATGCCAAATTTAAACCCGATCGGTTTAAAACTGACAAAGTTTCATACAAATTTTCATCCCCTATTTTACTCCCTTGGGGGTGGAAATTATCAAAATCCTTTCACAGCGGATTACTACGTCATAACATCTATCTGCATGCCAAATTTCAACCCGATCGGTTTAAAACTGACAAAGTCCCATACAAACTTTCATCCCCTATTTTACCCCCTTGGGGTGGAAATTATCAAAATCCTTTCACAGCGGATGCCTACGTCATAACATCTATCTGCATGCCAAATTTCAACCCGATCGGTTTAAAATTGACAAAGTTTCATACAAATTTTCATCCCCTTTTTTACCCCCTTGAGGGTGGAAATTATCAAAATCCTTTCTTAGCGGATGCCTACGTCATAACATCTATCTGTATTCCAAATTTTAGCCCAATCTATCCAGCGGTTTGGGCTGTGCGTTGATAGATCACTATGTCAGTCAGTCAGTCAGTCAATCACCTTTAAATTATATATATATAGATTTTCTGTGTATAATTTTCTATGGGCATGTGCCTGAAATAAATGAATTTTATTTTATTTATTTATTTTATTAAATGCCGTAATGTGCACCTTTGGGGATAAAATGCATGATGTTATGATATGTCCATGTGGGTTTAACAGCCCACAAAGGTTATGGTTTATCAGAAAGGTCTGCTATCCAGTTCATCACGACACTCATGAGAGGCATGAGAAGAACAGGGGTGTCAAACGTATTCCATTCAACCATTACCATACAGCTCGCATTATAGTAACAAAAGCAATAAAAGCAACCCATGAATCAAAAAGACCGGATAAATAAGTTCCGAATGAGTAACCACTAGAGACGAAAACAAAACATGTTTCGAATGAACTAAAAATTAGTTTAACAATAAAAAGTCAATTAAACACAGACAGAATTGTAGAGGAAAAGGGCTATGACGAAACCTCAGTAATAAGTGGGTAGGCAGAAATGGTAGTGGTACACAATAATTTGGTTAATAACATTATCCAAGACAATAGATGGTTTGTGGAACTGTGTGGTGACTGTGAATTTTTTGATGGAAAATTAGGTATCACGGATCTCGTCTGTTTAGTGTACGACTTTGGAGTAAGATTAAGCTTCGGCGTTGATTTTGATGTTAATGAAAGTACTATTGGGGTTTTTAAATTTGTTTGTATCAGCACGAAATCTATCATTGTTGACACAATACCTACATACATAATCGTTTGTCCACCAATAAAACAAAATCAGTCTGAATGATTACTTGTTTCTAACACTATTATGACTGTATACCACGAATGCTGCGGCCGCGGAGAACCTAACGGGTTACAGGGGTCCGGCTCGCAGTGCAGGAGTAGGAACGGGGTGGTTTTTAGTCAGTAAGAGTCTGACACTCCCTCCCGCCTCACCCAGGCGGGAGAAGACAATCGATGATTTTCCCCCCTTAAAAAAATACCCCGTATCCGTATGTAAAGATAGACCAACTAATGGTTACCTTAAGCCATAACTTAGGATACTAGCTCAATATAATATGAAATCAGTATATTGCCATAGAAATATGTATACTAATATAAACCAATTTATGAGTACGTTACCTTATAAGGAATAAAACAAATTTTTCCTAATATCCCAAAGCCAATAAAGAACCACAGTCACACTACAGAAAGCAAAGCTTTTTTGTATGACAATGCGCAGTGACCGCCCACGACACATCCGGTATTTTGTTACCGTTTCACTTCCCGGGAACCGAACTCGGTTTAGAACTATAACTCAGAATACTAGGAAAACTCTCTTTGCTAGTACCGTGGGTATGAATAAAATCAGTATTTATTATTATGGCGAATTGAACGCAATGAAATAAGTTCGTGGAATGACAATTACTAATAATGAAATTGTGCCCAAAGATGAGGATATAGTGTTGCATAGGTGGTAGAACTAGTGGCTTTTAGAGAAGCAGTCGATGCACTGGTATTAAATGCTGTCTCGATCTATTTATTGAGCACACCCAATTTCCTCGTGGCTAATTTAGCCGCAGCCTCGAAATAATCAATATATGTTGACATCAAGTATTCTAACGTTGAGGCAGTTTGGGATGCGTGAAATATGTGAGAGAGAAGGGCCAGCAGTCTCTGATGAACCTTTTGAATTGCAATCTTGAACTGACCCCAAGATGGAAAATATTTTTTTTTTTTTTTCGTTAATAAAACGTTGGGGCAACGTTTTATTAACGAAAAAAAAAAAATATTTTCTCATGTGTCGTGGGTGCGGTTACAAACATACAAGTTCACATACACATGACACCCAGACCCGAAACAACAATTTGTGGATCACACAAAGAGTTCAGCTCCGTGCGGGAATCGTAAGCGCTGTATGTTGCGCGGCAGCCGGTTGCCCAACCACCGCGCTAACCGTACAGTCGAATTTATGGAGCCTCAACGCCTGGGGTTAAAGAAATAGGTTTGCAAACTCTTACTAATTAAAACATATTTGAAATCAATTTTAAAATATAAAACAAACCTGTCGAACAAAAGAAGACATTATGAAACATGACTCCTAGAAGTTATTTTGAAAGCCATAAAAGTAAAATGGTCCATAATTACATGTGTGTAAGTACGATGATCAAAATCACACAAAGAATGATCATGCACTTACGTGGGTAGTTGTTAAGAGATAAAAATCATTGCTTCTGTGCGTTTATTTAATTATAGCTTGTATGGTCACATTGCTAGCGGGTTCAGTAAAATGTTATCAGCATATTCATCTTGTATTATATTTTTATTATATTGAAATTTGATACCTTATCTTAAATTAATATGTCGGCCAATAATCCTTTCTCATCTGTATCATCAGCAGGAATATCGTCTGCTAAGAAGATCTCTCATAAAAATGTATGTGCTAAAGTTTCATGTGCCACGTTTAGCAGGCTTGAGGATCATACTTGAGTTACCAAAAATTTCAAGGATGCTCCCCGCCTCTTAGTCCCCCATCTGGTCACAGTTTAGGGACATACACCCAGACATAATCATCTAAAACTCCAATAATAAGAATACAACAACTTCAATCACCGATTTTACTTTTTTTTTATCGCATAAACCGGTAAACGAGCAGACAGTCATCCTGATGGTAGGCAATCGGCGTCGTCATGGACACTCGGAATACCAGAAGCGTTAGAAGTGCATTATCGGTCTTTTGGAGATTGGGAATTTGAGGATTGTTGGAGATTTAGGAATTGGGGAGATTGAGGAAGAGGGTAATTGGGCCTCCGTTAACCTCACTCACACGACGAAACACAACGCAAGCGTTGTTTCAACGTCAGTTTTCTGTGAGGCCGTGGTATCACTCTGGTCGAGGCGGCCCATTCGTGCCAAGGCATGGCTCTCTCACACTTCCTATTCAAAATCACTACCGCTCATACGACCCGCTGTAACTAGCACCTCAATGCGTGCTCAAACCCACCTTGTTACAATAACTTTATCTTGTGCTCCCTCAACGGTAACCGGCCAATTTCGTAACACAAAACCGTTACACATACTCATTTACATTTTCTAGTTTAGTTCATCTAATTATGTTTACATAATTGCGGATTAATTATTCAACGTTTTTTTATCACGGCCATGTTTTATATTAACGCATTTGTATGCGTTTTTGTTTTGTCAAATTTCACTTGGGTTGGTTTAATTTGGTAACTTGTTTTGGTTCGTGTTGGGACCTGTTGGTATTAATTGATGTGGGTGATATGATTTCTTTATTTTAAAGATTCTTGTATAGTTCAGTGGTCTGAAATGAGAATGTTAAATACGAGGTATTTTTTTTAAGGGGTGAAAATCATCGAATGACTACTCCCGCCTGGGTGAGGCGGAAGGGAGTGTCAGACTCTTACTGACTAAAAACCACCCCGTTCCTTCTCCTGCACGTCGAGCCGGAGCCCCGGTTACCCGTTAGGTTCTCCGCGACTCCGAATCGGCATCGGCCCTAAATACGAGGTATTGGTCCAATACTAATTTCACTACCCTCGTCATCATACCGTCAACTGTCACTGTCACGTCACTGTCAAGATAGGCTTTCCAGTTTCAGATCAAAAATAATAATCCTCGTTTCTAAAAATATTATCACCATTTTTGAAGGTTCACTGAAATATATCTGCTTTTTCAACATTGTTACTAACTAAGTAAAAAATTTACTCCAAAAAAATACCTTCGACTCGATCACCACGGAAAATACAGTCATAATAAACAAAAAGTATTTCAATCATCAAATTAATCACAATTTGGTACTTCCCCATTATTTCATTCGCTGAGAAGTTTCCGTTCACAGCTTATCGAGCGATTATCACTTTTTTATGCGCAAACGCATCAATTTAGTTTCTTGCTATAAGTGGATCATGTGTTAAAATCGGAATCGGGTCGTTAAGTTGGCAAATTATGGTCTTAGATAAGTTTGTTGTTTGATTTATTATCTTCCTTTTATCTTCGACTTAATTACGACCTTTAAAATTAATTTTTTGCTATAAATTAGTGTTTCTTTGACTGCATCGTTGTAGAAACAATTGCAATTGTTATTATTGTGTTGATTTAAATAGTACAATTTTTCTTTCTCTAGAGTAGAGCCATGAAGAAGAACAAAACAATAATGATTTTGGTTCCAAGTAGCGATGCAATTTTCAAACAGTGGTCTCATTAGTACCTTTACTTCTGCCTTCAAATTCTGACAGTTTTAGGTGAACAAAAAACTCTAATAACACTTTGCCCGG